CTCTCCTTCTGCCCCTCCCCCGCTCGCTTACTTGTAAGTGCTCTCTCTCTCTTAGAATAAATAAAGCTTTAAAAAAAAGGGGGGGAGGGCCTGTACACCTGTGTCCCTGTCCCGGAGCTAGCCCCCAGGGTTCAGACCCCCAGACCCCTGTCGCCCAAAGTAGAGATACAACCTTCCAGATGGGAGTCTACGTGGGGCCTACCACTGAGCCACCACTAGTCCCAGACGAGCCAGGAGAGCAAGGGAGAAGGGATCAATTGTGGCCAAACCCCAACGTCCCGAGCCCAGGACACACTGGCACCTTTCTGGGCACCTCCCTGGCACTGCTGCCTCCAGTCCACACTCCAACTCTGGGAGGAGGGCTCACCACTCCCATTGTGCAAATGAGGACACTAAGGTAGAGAGATACTTTTGACAGTTGGGCCGCCTTTGGTCTCAGTACAGCGAGTGCATCGTAAAGCAGGGCCACCCACTGCGGCCTGGAGAACCAAGGTGGGTGGGGCAGCAGAGGCCTGGGGGAATGACAGAGGGTCCCACTTGGATGTTCACAGGAGGTGTCTCTGGGGAAGTGATATTTGAATTCAGCCCTGAATGACGAATGAGAAGGTGGCAGCTCTGGGAGAGCCGGGGAAGAGAATTCCAAACTGAGGGAACAAGTGCAAAGGTCCTGAGGTGGAGAAGAATAGGATGGGTGTAAAACAGACGGAGACACTGCAGTAGCTGCTATTTAGGAAGAGAGGAAGAGTACGGCGCAGACAAGGAGGGCCTGTCAGCAGGGCCGGCCACCCAGGCACTAGGGCTGTGGTGAGTGGTTTGGACCTTACTCCAAGAGCAATGGGAAGCCACTGCGGGGTTTCATCTGATTGATGCTGGGCTGGTGTGTGGAGCCTAGATTGGGGGTTAGGGCAGGGGTTCAGAGGGGGGCCAAGGTTGAGGCACAGAGAGCCTGGAGGTGGCCGTTACTGTCTTCTGGGTGAGGGATGGTGGTGGCCTGGGCTTTAGGTGGAGACTGAAGTAGAGAAGTGGGAGATCTGGCATGTTTGGAGGGGAGCCCAGGTACTCTTTGTGCTCATCAGCTGGCCGACTCTGCATCTTCAGGAAGCTGCTCGGCAGACCCTCCTGCACAGCCCACAGCCCACGTGGGGGCCAGCTCCACCCAGGACGCCCCAGCAGGACCTTCTGTGACAGCACTCCTCCTACCAGGGCCTGGTTCCAGTCTGTTCATCTGTCTCCTCCACTCAGCTAGGCACTCCCAGAAGCAGAGGCTGGTTGTGATCTGTCTGGTGCCCAGCCTGGTGCCAGAGCCCTCCTAACAAGGTTCACTCCAACCAGGGCTGGTCATCAACCCTCACTAACCGTCTCCAGCAAGACCCAGCCACTCCCTCTCTCTGAGGCTATGGAGGGCTGGGTGGGTGCATCTCTGCAGAGCTTCCCTGGACATGGTGGCCGTGTGTCAGCAGCACTTCCTTCCTCTGCTCAAGTCTTGCTCATATCTGCACCTCCTGCTCCCCACAGGGCTCGTTAGCACAGCCCTCATCTGACCTCAGACCTTGGAACCCGGGAATGTGAGCTCAGTGGCCTCCAAGCAAGGGTCCACTGCCTCAACTGGGCTCCCCCACACTGGAACTGATGCCCGAGCCCCTAGCTTGGGGCAGGCACATACACCGGGACGGCTGTGGAGATCAGGCCTGGGGAACAGTCGCAAGTCCCTGCAAGAGCCAAAAGGCTCAGCCTTTTTATTTTTTTTCAACTGAGATGTAATTCGCACATCATAAAATTCACTGTTTCAAAGTATACCATTCAGCGGCTTTAGTATATTCACAAGGTTGTGTACCCATCACCACTGTCCAATTTCAGAACACATTCATCACCCCAAAAAGAAACCCCAAACCCATTAGCAATCATTCCCCATTCCCGTCTTCCCTCAGCCCCTGGCAACTACGCATCTATGTTCCATCTCTATAGATTTGCTTGTTCTGGACATTTCATCTAAATGGCTAAAGGCTCAGCAGCCTTCCAGGCCATAGACTCCGAGTGGAGCCCACAAAAGGGGCCACAAGAGCAACCGGGCCTCATCTCCTTTCTGAGATTTGTGCCAGGCTGGCAGTCTCACCCATCCAAGAGTCTGAGTTTCCCTAGGGAGTGATGCCTTACTCATCCCAGAATTTCCTCAAAGTCAGGCCCAGGACGAGCTCACTGGTCCTTCCATCCCCACCCCCACCCCCAATCTCAGAGCAGAACAGAGCAAACAAAACAGAAACAAGGAGTGGCTACTGGTCGAAGCCAGGAATAGTCTACAAGCCTACATCAGATGCCTCACAAACATCAGCCATGAAATAAACTTTGACCTAATTCGCCCTTCCCAAAACAGTTCACAAGAAGGCACGTACCAAAAAGAAGCACCCTTTTAGGGAAAAAAATTTCCCTCTGCCCCCTGGCAGCTGGCTGTGAGGTAGTCATTTGGTCCATTGCCCCTGGCAAGGTTTGAGTCTGCCCGCTTTGAGGCATCCAACATGGTAGCCACATGGGCATGCCACCCACACGTGGGTAGAGGACACCCTGGCGCGGGCTTTCCCCACTGTCTGGGGAGGTTAAGCGACTGGCCTTAAAAACTTGTCAGCACAACTGCTGACTGCCTGGATTCTCTGAGAAAGGGCAAAGGGGGCCGGAGGGCCTAGACCTAAGGCCCATGGGCAGGGGCTGGGCAGCCTGTCATCTGTCCCCTGAAGAGGGGCTCAGGAAAGCAGAGCTTGGGAAGAAACGTCCAAAGGCAGTTTTTCCTCAGGGCCCTACAATGGACTCCTGACCCACTGTAAGAGTATCTTTTCTGATACATATGCTCTCAAAACATGGAGTCAATCAAATTTGCTTTTTAAAACCAACCATATTTTAAACGTTCACACAACTTTTTGGGTAACACGAGCAACTACTCCGATTTGCTATTTATTTTGAACTATCAGGTTTGCTTAAAAGAGGCTCCCCTATATTCATGGACATTTTCCTCTCCCGGTGTCACCCCAACTTAGGCCCTTGCCTCTGTCCTTGTCCCCAGCCCCATGGAACAGCTGGTTCCAGCACACAGAACATCAGCTCCAGAGCCTGTCTTCTTCCTCCCATGTTCCCAGACAGGCAGTGGGAAGCTGCAGCTGGGTGGGGAGTAGGGCAGCGGATTTACGTCTACAGGAGAGAGTATGATATACAGAAAAGCCTCTGCTATAGCTTAAGAAAGATGCCCAAGTTGAAAAAACAAATGACGCAGGCCAGGAGAATAATGGTGTGCCTGCCCTCAGCCCCCACCCCCGATCCTGACTGCTAGAGTTGGCTGTTGGTCGCCTACACTCTGACCAGTGTGAGCTTAAGGACACCAAATGGTCCCATCACCACACCCTGAAAGAGAACGAGGCCCTCCCACTCTGGGCACTCTCCCACTGGCCCAGGCCATGAAAGGAACGCAGAAATCCCGCCTCTTCCCTGTACCACTGTGGAATCACAAGAGGCTGGAGGGGAGCCTGCCTTCCTAGGACTGTTCTCGGGCCTAGGCCTTTTGTCTACTGAAGGCTGTCACAGTGACCCCAGCGCCCTGTGCAAGCAACTCACCTGCCGGCAGTTTGGCAGCGCTGCATTATGTCAAGTTGGCCCCAAATCTAAGGGTTACACGTTGTAAGGGACCCAAAAGCATCTACGTTAAGCATCTGCTTGTGCAGGGCGGAGGTCTCTGGGGAGAGCTGCTGCATCAGGTGGCAAGGTCAGAGGGCAAGCCCCCTGCCCCATAGACTTGAAAGAAGCAAGCACCTCATAGACGGAGCCACCCTAGAGCAGAAAGACCACTCAGCCAACATGCTCCTTCTGCCTATGAGGAAATGGGGAGTCCAAGCGGCAAGGAGCTCATTTCTACAGTCAACAGTTTACCAAGTTTTCCATTCTGGGGTTTCTAGAGAGAAGCCTCAATCTGTCTTCTCACCTCCCACCAGCTTCGGCATGAAAACAGCTTTCAGAACCAACCCTCCTCCCTCCTGATCTGAAACAGCCTGGCGGTCACCCTCCTCCCTCGGAGTGACCCTCCAACTAGCCATGTGACCCGCCTACCTGCTGGCCCCTCCTGCACTGGACCTCCATTTGCAGCCACCAGAGTTCCCCAAACACTTCGTGTACTCTAGGAGCTCTCATCTCACCCTTGATTTAGGCCAGCTGAGGACAGTCTGAAACACCAATCTCAATTTTTTTTTAAGGGCAGCTGTACTGCTCCAATTCACTCAGAACAGGCTCTTCACCCTTTAGATCATCCGTACCAATGAGGCAGAAAAGCATGGTTTGTAATGATCATGGAATCTTTTCGAAGCACCTAAACGTATTTAATTAGCAAAATCGTTAAAGGGGCCCCTTACCCACACCACTGATTTGAAACCACCTCCCAGAGCTTATGAGAACAAACCAGTCTCATAAAAACCTACTTTCTACACATAGCGTTCAGGGTCGTTCTCTGGCAGGGGGGCATTCATGCCAATAAGGATAGAGTGAGTAGAGCACGTTTCTCCTGCACAACCAGGAGCTCTGAAACACACTACCCTTTCCGCCCATTCTTCCAACACCCAGGCTTGGGGTCTTAGGCTTGGGGAGAAGGCTAACTGCAACACTCACAGCTAAGACCACACTACCAACACCACCCTCAGGAGGGGAGGGGATGGTGTCAGCTCAAAAATTCTGGGAAAAGACTCTACCCTGGCATTACCTAGCACCAGGACAGGGCCTGCACCTGCTTGTGAGCAAGCTAGGAAGACAGAAGCCAACAGCTGGAGGGAAGGGGGGTGCCTAGGGCAGTCTCTCTCCTTCCTTCGGCAAAGTTCTCCCGGTTCAGATCACACTGGGTGTGTGAGGGAAAAGGCACCAGAACACCGAGTTCTCACCTATCTATCTTGTTCTAGGCAAAAGTCACTTGTTGCCCATGCCTCACATACCTGGTCAAGGAGGTAGCAGGCACAAGGCCTGCCGGGGCCACTTACCAGCGGGGGCTGCGGCTGGGGGTGCTGCCCGGCTCCCGCGGGGGGCGGGTAGTGCATGAGCAGATTGAAGGCGGAGTAGACCGTGTCTTTGTACATGCCGCTGGCGCACTCCGGGGCCTTCAGGCCTGGAAAAACCACAGCTGGGTCAGATGCGCCCGACCGGGTGGCTCGGGCTGGAGGCAGTCTGCTCTCCAGAGAAAGAACTGCCGAGGGGTCCGGCTCACGTGTGTGACCGGAGAAGGCACGGGCTGGGGGTGCCTCAGTTCGGATGAAGGACCCCGAGTCCAGGCCTCCCCTCGGCGGCCCCTACTCGACCCCCAGCCCGCCCTCCGGGCCAAGGAACCTGGGCCAACGCTTTCTCCTCAAGACTGGGGATTAGGCAGTCACCTGGGCAGGAGGGGAGGCGGAGATGGCGGGGGTCTGTTTACTCCTATAAAGGTCAGGGCACCGGAAGTGACTCGAGCCCGGCGGCGCCCTGGAAACCCGCCCCCCACTCCCCCCGCCCCGGCTTTGCCGCCTCCTTTAGCTGCCGTGGGGGGAGGCCCCCCCAACCCCGTCCTCGGTGGCCCCCCTGTCCCACCCGGGCCCTTAGCGGGTGGAGGGGAGGCGGGCCGAAACTCACCGTCCTCCAGAGACTCTGGAAGTTTGTCGGGGAAAAGTCTCTGCGAAGTGTGCTCCCGTCCGAGCGCCTGCGGGGAGATCCAGAGGGGCCGTGAGGGGCGCCGGGCCTGCGGCCCGGGGCAGGAGGGGTCTGAGGGATGGGTACCCCAGGGGCCCGCGAGGGCGGGGCGGGGC